AAACATTAACTGAAAGATGAATTTGCCAATAGCATCTTCTGGAAGTGTTCTTTGAGTTATTTGATCTGGTTTGACAGAACAAATCATTGAATTTGGAAGATGAATGTGTTCATAGCATCTTCTGGAAGTGTTCTTTGAGTTATCTGATCTGGTTGGACAGAACCAATCATTGAATTTGGAAGATGAATGTGCTCATAGAATCTTCTGGAAGTGTTCTTTGAGTTATCTGATCTGGTTGGACAGAACCAATCATTGAATTTGGAAGATGAATGTGTTCATAGCATCTTCTGGAAGTGTTCTTTGAGTTATCTGATCTGGTTGGACAGAACCAATCATTGAATTTGGAAGATGAATGTGTTCATAGCATCTTCTGGAAGTGTTCTTTGAGTTATTTGATCTGGTTTGACAGAACCAATCATTGAATTTGGAAGATGAATGTGTTCATAGCATCTTCTGGAAGTGTTCTTTGAGTTATTTGATCTGGTTTGACAGAACAAATCATTGAATTTAGAAAATGAATGTGTTCATAGAATCTTCTAGAAGTGTTCTTTGAGTTATCTGATCTGGTTGGACAGAACCAATCATTGAATTTGGAAGATAAATGTGTTCATAGCATCTTCTGGAAGTGTTCTTTGAGTTATTTGATTTGGTTTGGTAAGAACTACAGAACCAATCATTGGAATTAAAAGATGAACTGCATGATCATCTTCATTAAGAAGTTTCTTTTCAAGCTTCTTTTGCTTATTCCTTTCCTAAAAATCATAGCACAAGTTTCGCCTTTTCTTGTAATTGGGATCATCACATAATGGCTTCCCATCTTTTACCGGAAGAAGTGCGTCAGCATCTTTAGTCATTTGAGCAGCACATATAAAATTTATCAATTCTGCAATTGATGAATCTGGACCACGTCTCTACATGGCTATTGAAGCTTCAGCATCTGAGAATCCCATTTTTGTCAAGTATAACAGTTTATTCTCCTCAGCAGAATCAGAATTCAAGATTTCTCGGTATTAGAAGAACTATCGATATCTGTGAAATCATCTTGAAAGGTCACTTCATAATCAGATGAGTTGTTATCAGAATCAACATGTTGTATGAATACAAGTTTTTCAAGAGCCTATACTATTGAGTTTTATTCTCAAGAGGTTTTGTTACATAATATCTACATCTACATTTGTCAAAGATGATAGATTCTCTGATTTGAAGAAGAAAGATCTATTCGGTTTTTACAATTGAAGAAATACTCAATTCACCGTCTGAAATCAAATAAATTAACATTCATGCATCATATTTTAGGTGTTTACAAAAATAGGTGCATTTTCATTCATTTTCATCTATGTTGAATTTTTAACAGGAATTTCAAAGATTTTAGCAAAGATTCAAATCTATCATTTGATGTATTGACATTTCCAGAGAAGGTTCATAATGAGAAGAACTCATCTGAAGAAGGAAGAAGAAGTTCATAATGAGAAGAATTTGTTCAACCTTTTGTCTGAATTCATCACTTGATGGATTATTTTTGCCAGAGAAGGTTCATAATGAGAAGAACTCATCTGAAGAAGGAAGAAGAAGTTCATAATGAGAAGAATTTGTTCAACCTTTTGTCTGAATTCATCACTTGATGGATTATTTTTGCCAGAGAAGGTTCATAATGAGAAGAACTCATCTGAAGAAGGAAGAAGAAGTTCATAATGAGAAGAATTTGTTCAACCTTTTGTCTGAATTCATCACTTGATGGATTATTTTTGCCAGAGAAAGTTCATAATGAGAAGAACTCATCTGAAGAAGGAAGAAGAAGTTCATAATGAGAAGAATTTGTTCAACCTTTTTGCTCAAATCTATTACTTGATGGGTTATTTTTTTCAGAGAAAGTTCATAATGAGAAGAACTCATCTGAAGAAAGAAGAGAAAGTTCATAATGAGAAGAACTCGTCAAAAGCTTATTCAACCTTTTGAATGACTCTATCACAGAAAAAAAGGAGGTCATCATCTTCCCCAGCAGAAAGTTCATAATGAGAAGAACTCATCTGGAGAGAGAGAAGAATTTATTCAATATCTCCATTATGATCAAGTGAAGCCAAATGGATAAAAAATTTTATTATCTTTTCATCTTTGCCCTATTCTTGTTAACACAAGAATGAGCAAAGAGGGGCAGCTGAAGATACTAATTTTTTACCCATATTATTATTATTATTATTATTATTATTATTATTATTATATTATTATTATTATTATTATTATTATCATTATTAAATATATATTAAATACATATATAAATAATTAATTACAGACCCAATTACAACTGGACCGGCCCAGTTACAAACAAACCAGAACCGGTCCAGACCAACCAGAAACCCTAAACATTTGGGGGTTTCAGTTAGGGTTTCCTAAATCCTAATCCCAGCCGCCTCAGCTTGCTGCCGTTGGATCTGGCAAGATCCAACGGTCCAGATGGCTCCAGATGGAAACCCTAGGGTCTGATACCCTAGGGCCACGCGGCCGCCGTTGCTGTTCTCGCCGCCTCCGCCGCTGCCACGTCCCAACCGAAGGCTCCAAAAGCTCCAACGCCAGCCGTCCACGCCATGGCTACGGGGTGAGTCACCACTGGTAGTCCGGTGACTCACCGAGACCCCCTCTTCGGACCGGTCCGATGGCCACACCGGTGGTGGCTATAAAAGCCACCACCCGAACCTGAAAAAGAAACCAGAGACAGAGACAGAGAGACCAAAAAGAGAAAAGACAGAGCCGGAGAAAGAAAATAAAACAGAGAAACAATAAAAAAAACTACTACCAACGATCTCAGTCAACATCCCACAACCAGCAACCAAAAAAATAGAAGAAAAAGGAAGAGAGAAACTCACCGAGGAAGCCGACCGTCGGATCTCACCAAAACCTTCGAAAAACCGAAGGTATTTTTTTTAGATTTGCTCCGATTGGGAGCCGTTTAAAGGAAAAGATCATCGGAACCGTCATTAGGACGGTCCGATCTACGTTTCGATGTAAAAAAAAAATTTCCGGCCACCGAAGACGGTGGCCGGCGGCGGTGGTTGACGGCGGACGAACGCCGACTGACGGCTGCCGGCCGGCTGGCTTCTCTCTGTTTTAGAGAGAAGCGAGAGAAAATTCTCTCTCTCAGAGAAGAGCGAGAGAAAATTCTCTCTCTCAGAGAAGAGAGAGAGAAGGAAAATGAAGAAATGAAGCTGGCCCTTCGGGCCAGCCGGTTTTGGACCTTTTATAGGCCTTCCCGAACGACGTCGTTTCGGGAAGGACTATGCGCGTAATTAGACAATAGTTAAACCCCGTCCGTCGTCCTCCTAACTTGTAAACTTTACATTCTAGTCACTAAATCGATTTTATAATACTTTTAATTCAGATCTTAAATTTTAATTTCTTTTATTTTAGTCCTTTTTATTAAAATAATATATTTAGGATAAATAACAGATTTAATCCCTTAATTTTAATAAATAATATTTTAATCCCTAGTTTATATTTTTAATTTATTTTATTCTAATATCCGAATTTTAAATAATTTTATTTTAGTCATTAAATAAATAAAATAAAGAAATAGCATGTTTAATCCCTATAATTTTGATTAATTATAAATTAGATTTTTAAATTTTATTTTTACTATAATTTAGTCATTTATTTCATATGTTTTCATTTATTTTACTGCTTTTAAAATATATTGTTTTAGTGGTATTTTATTTGTTTATATTTTTAAAATATTTTTATATTCATAAATATATATATAATAAATAGTAATTTTAAATATTTATTTTTAATATCGAAGAAAAGGACAGTCTTAATACAACTGGATGTCCTATTCTGATATTTTAAAATTAAAAATTAAACAATATTATTTAAATTAATATTTATCAATATCAAAGAAAGGAGCTGTCTTAAGGCACCTAGAAGTTCTTTTCTAATATTTTTAAATAAATAAATATTTTTTATATAAATTTGAAATAATAGGATTATAAATTAAATATATTTTTGAATTTTTAAAATTTTAATAATAGAGACAATTTATAATTAAAAAGTACCAATTTTTGGGCGTTGTAGGGGTGCTAATCATTCCCTAAACGTAACCGACCACGAATCCCTTTTTATTATTAAAAAGAACGAATTTTTGGTTATAAAACGCAGATCAGTTCATTTTTTTAATTGATGTTTTCTTAAAACTCTTTTAAAGAAAATAATTTTTAGGTATTCGACCTACCTGATCCAAAAGGCCGATGGCGACTCATAAATTATTTTCAAAATTATTTATTTACATCAATTTCCCTGCCAAGTATAATATTTCGTGCCCAGACAAAAACCAGTTACGACATTGTGAACACATTATTATTTAAATTACTGAAATTAAGATTAAATTAAACAAAAATTAAAGTTTACATTCTAAATTATATCCCTCCCCCCACCCACCCCGCACGTTCTCCTTCTCCGGTCTCTCCTTTTTTCCTCATTTCTTTCTGCTCTCTTCTCTCAACACTCAATATCAAAATCAAGCAAAAAAACTCCAAAATTATAACATGTTCTACCCCTAAATTCAGAGCGTGAATGATTTTTTTTCTTCTTCAATAATCTTAAGTTCCGACGAAAATTCCTTTCTCCGATTACAGTGAACTCTACTCCGGCGAGACCCACAAAACAGGTTCGTTCTTCAATTTTACTTTTCCATTTTCTTTTTCCTTTTGAATCTCAACATGCATGTATAAAAAACATGAATTTAGAAATAAAGAGAAAAAAATACAACTTTGGTGATGATGAACATAAAAAATCTATCTTTCCTTAATTTTTTTTTTGCAGTAACGGTTGGAATAACGGCGATTGCGTCCCGGCGCAATCATCCGTTTACCGTTAAATTGCGGGCGCAATCGACCGCAATCGGTGTGAATCCATGACCAACCGTAAAAACCACGAATAACGGTTTCGGACGGTGACGCGACCGCAATATCGCGGCCGCTATAGCGTTTTCGGAACGCTATTTGATACCCTGGGTGCACATTTCTATTGGTTGCATAAAGGGACTGTCGATGCTCGTCCCGATTACATCTTGAATCTTATACACTATGAGGTGAGAATTCACTCTCTAATATTGGTTGTTAATGGCAGGATTTTCAACTTCTTTAGTACACTGTCATGAAGCACTGTTTTTTTTGTCTGGAAATGATATCTCTTTTTGAGATTTGCAGAAATCATTTAGGTACCTTGAATGGTGTTGATGTCGATTATTATGCTTGGTGTCACAGGATGCAGCTTCCCTTTCGGTCACTATTCTGAAGAAGAAACTTCGGGGTCGGATTTTCTTGGGTTGTGACAATCATCCTTTGTCCAGGTTGTCTTCTTTTATGTTAGTAAATATGAAAACTTGTGTGGATATATTTCTTGCAATGCTATTATTATCAAAAATGTTTATTTTTTCTGACTTCTTAACACTGTTACTTTCACTGGCAGGCAAGAAGTAATGGATTTGGTCGATAAAAGTGTGAAATTCGACAAAAAGTTCGAAGGCTTTACAGGTGGTTTTTTAATTTACACTTTCGAAACAAGCGTATACGATTGATTATGGATTGTTATTAGAGTATAGGTATGGGGTTATGATTATCCAAATATATGGAGAACTTGTACGAAAAAGGATTGAGTATGTGAAATTTGCATTCTCTGATGTATATTGCATGTTGCAGGCACTAGTGATCCCCTGGGAAAGAAGCTGAACAACTCGAAAACTCGTAAGGAATTAGGATGGGAGCTGAAATATACTAGCTTTGCCTACTTCCTCGGAGTTTCGGCAAGGCCGGTCCAATGAGTTTTAATGTTCTGGGTGAAATAATAATTTTATGTCCCTATACTTGTACCGTATAATAGATAAAACATAAATAATTTTTAAAACAAAAATATAATAGAAATTATAGTCAAACAATATCAATACTAATACAAACTAAAACCTATAAGGTTACAAATATCACTTAAAATGATGTTTTCGTGCATTTTTGAAGTAAAAACCTCTATTATTTTACGATAATCAAGATTTTGTAAAAATTGACTTTCAATGTTTAGAATTGTTAATTCGTTCAATCTATTTTGAGTCATCATGCTTTGAAGATAGGATTTCAAGAGTTTCAATTTTGAAAATTTTCTTTTCGCGGAAGCAACTGTGATCGGTATCGTCAACAAAATTTTATATGTTATCAACACATTAGAGAACATATCAATTCTTCTTGCAAACTCCATTATTTGAATAGATGTCCATAGACTTAAACTTTGTGTGCTTTATCTGGTAACATTTTTTGTAAAATTTGTAATTCCATAAATAAATATTTTCCATCAATATCAAATTTTTCACCATTTGTCATATTGAACTCAATATTTAAACAATATTTTTTTAGGTCGTCATCAAGTAATGAAATTAATTTTGAACCATAAAAAAAACTAAATATAGGTTCGAAATGTTGCATTTGTTCAAATATACTTTTCAATTGAACAAGAGTCATATCTACAAGAATAATAAAGTAATCCTTTCGAAATGTTTCTTAAGAAGATTGTTGTTCTCTTTCGGTATTTGGAATTTCATCAAATTGTTTTTATCTATAAGAAATACGTTTTTTAAGAAATTGAGATTCAACCCCAATATTATATGTTATTTCTTTAGCTTCATTAATAACATTGTCAAACCTAATTTCCTTATATTGTTTTGGGCCAAATATATTTATATATATACACATTATAAGTACTAAAAAATTGATGTCTCCTCAAACATGTTATCCTGGGCTAAGGCCCATCTGCTACATGTATTGGGCCAGGGCTCAGTTTCGGAATAACTCATTCCTCCGTTACCGGGATTGAATGGATTTATCATGGAAGAAGCTCAATTTAGTTGGTATACAGAATTCTTCGCCTGCACCATTGTGGCTCTTTTGTTTTCACCCTCCGATAGATGCTGGCAAATGCTTGCTCATATTCAGTTTCTAAACATTTCACATCGGTGCTAATAATAAAAATTTACACACTACAGCACTTTCAGTTGAGTTGTTGTACCTTCTTAGGCGTTTTGGTTTAACTACTAGCGTAATCCGAATTGCTGAGACATAATTATGATCGACGAAACCAGATTTACGAGGCGCTGCAAGTTCTTGACACTGACCTGCTGTTGCCAAGATCTTTAATGCACTTTAAACTGTCTTCTGAGTTTCAAAAACTGTGACTCGAGCTTGATTCTAGATAAACCGGTACTAAGATCATTGGAGGAACAATACCTAAACCTGAAGATGCTCTTTAATCTTTTTGATTACTGGTCCGAGAATTACGATCTTTAACTCTAGAATTGAATCATTTTCATTTATCTGAGAATAACTTTCAAATTATTAGGAAGGAAGCCTAATCGGAATCAATAAAAAATTCTCATTTATTACACTTCATGCATGATTATTTATACTCTAGTTTGAATTGATAAATTTTTAATACTAAGAAAAAATATACATAACAATTATCAGAGCTTGATTAACTTGCATGAATTTTATTATACTTCTTTCGGATCTCTATAAGATATAAAGATATGGATTTTATTATACTTCTTTTAGATCTCCATAAAAAAATATTTTCCGTAGTTACTCCTGGGTTGCACCCTCTGGAGTTCCTCGAAGCTTTGAAAACTCTATAGTTTGAACAAGTTACCGTCTCTTGACATGATCACTGACAGGTCCATGTAATATGTCATAATCAAATCCACTATTATACAATCATATCTATTTATTTTATCAGCATATAGATAGTCATCATGATCCTAGATCTTACACCAACACTAAAGGAAAATATATAAATCACTATAAAGGTTGAAGAAGGGGATCGGATTGGATCTCTCTCAGCTTCTCATTGTTCATCATATTCTTCAACTTACCATTCTTCATCTCCTTTACATAATAATCGATCATAATTCCCCTACTAAACTAAAAAGGATGAACTGTCTAAAATCGCCACAACCACAATTTTCCCATCAAAATATCTCAATTTTTTTCAGCCAATAATGAATTATTGTGAAGCAAAATAAGATTTAGAACTCCATAGAGCAATGAATATTTAACCTCGAGAAGGCAATTTTTATATATTAAAAGATGAGTTGGGAAATGTTCCAAGAAACCAACTTCATAATAAACTATTCCATTTCAAGTTCACTTGGGAGACCAAAGATTCTTCTATTTCTCTATATGTTCATCAACATGTTTAAACAAAGACAAAATCTGAGGGCTCTAACACCAAGTTTCTTACAATGGGGAAGTTTTGTTGTATGGAATCAGATGATGGTGGTGGCTTAGATCTCACAGGGCTTCTCCTTGGTTTAATCATAGCCCTAGCTCTCATGGCTCTCTGCTTCCAGCAACCGCGACCTGCCGGTTATACAGTGTACCGTTACCGATGAAAAAATCTTCGGTTCAAGCTCAGTCGTCTCATTTCAACAGTGTCTCGTTGCATCTTCAGAATAATGTTATGGTGACAACATTTGTTGCTTGTAAGAACTTGGAAACTCAGTCTATTTTATTTCATAGAAACATATCAGATTTTAGATTCATTACTCTTCCCGATCTGAATTGTTGTTGAACATGTTTGGAATCTGTTTCATTGTTGTTTTATGTTCTCGACTTGTAAGTTATCGGATATATTTAACTATCCGACACTCATATTCGAGTCTGAATAACACAAGTTTATACTACTGGATGTCTCATTGTTACAACTATCAAAAGATCAAATAACTGGAAATGAAATTGATAAAAGGTTAAATTGGTGTTTTCATAAGTGGATTCAGCCCGTCGTTTGGTACGGTGCGCTGGCGGAGGGTGCGATTCCAACCAACAAAAAAGCGGTATTCCAATTATTTTTCCCGCGTAGGTGCTAGGAGGGTGCGATTCAAACAAATCCTTATTTTTCACGTAATTTGTCCCGATACGGAACGGTGAGGGTTCTCAAGAAGGAAAATCCATCGTATCCCAATGATTATTAGTCTGCAATGTATATATACACATACATACATGCATATTAGCTCACATACCTACTGGGAATAAATTATACAAATCATGAGATAAACACTGTGCATATGCAAATCTGTTCATAATTGTTCCCCATGGTTTAAACTAGTCATTGTGAGCTTTGATTAAGCCAGGCACTGCTTGTGGAATTAACAACGGATATCTGAACTTGTAAAACCTCATGAATCGCTCCTCGGTGAAGTACCCCCAGCACGTCCGCATCGTCCTTTAATGTTGCAAGATCTTCCAGAGAGAGACATCGAGAATGGGATTCGTCACGCATACGGAATCTATAGAACCATCTACCTAGCTTCCACCATTTGACATGAACTTGACGGTCAGAAATCTTGCTATTCTCAAGCGCTTTCTTGACATCCGAAGCCTGCTTGTTACGATGCATTGAAAACATCATTAGCAGAAGATCATAATGCATGATTATATCAGAAAACCACACGGTTGATTCAATCCGGTTCAGCTTCGGGGCACATGCCTACTTACATGTAACCCTTAATCTTGTGTTGCCATCACCAAATAAGTTTCCAATCCACTAATCACTATAGAACGTATTCCTTCAAATGGAACAAATAACACAGATAAACTACCAACTATTTCGACCCCTCTCCCTCTTATCGTTCTCGATATAGTCTCTGAAGCAGTGTAAACTTAAACCAAGGATTACACCACAACACAATCCCCCCAGTTCTAACATTTAAAACAAGCATCAAGAACACCAATTCAACAATTTAAGCAAAAAAAAAAACACATGAGAAATGCACCGAAAGAAAAAAGAAAGTTACCGGTACTCGAAGGATGTACAGGCAGTAGTGAAGTCCAATGAGGTTAAGCAAGACATGCAGCTTTCGTTTGAACAACAAAATTTGAACATCTTTAAATCCGAACCGCAACGATTTCAGGCATTCGACCGCTTTCAGATGGTCATTTTACCTGGAGTGAGTCGGATTTCGAACATTGTTCCACAAATTTAATAATGGATTCAGCTTGATCCCTCATCTCCTTGTGATGCTTTATGTAAAATCCCTTCCACCCCTACCATCATTTAGGTTTTTTCTTTCAAGATTTTCAAAACCAATACAAATAATTGAATTTGTCTAATTAGAATATAAAAATTTGACTACCATATTCACAAAGCTACGAAACAAGAGCAATTAGCCAAATTACCCAAGAATTCCAAACCTAAATCACAACAAATTAATCAATTTTTTAAAAGAGAACTTGAAAAAAAAACCCTTTAAATGGGATCTTTCACGGTTTCTTCATACAGAAGAGGCCATCGTTGTTTGAATAGTGGCTCCCATACACAATCGGAGCCCCATATCTCACGCCAAACCCGAGATTTTAAAATTTTAATTTGATAGTCCGTTAGTAAAATTTTAACAGTAATAATACTAATGTGACATGACGTATCAAATTTTTAATTATATTTTTTTAATTTTTACATCACATTTCTCTTTTCCATCTGCATTTTCAATTAATTTTATTTAACCAATTAAGAGGTGTCACTATTTATGAGGATAAAAAAAGGTTTAATTCACCTTTTAGTGCTTAAATTATACATCTTATGATTTGGTGCTTAAAGAATTTTTCTTTAAAAATAGGTGGCTAACGTTTCCAACGTTACACTTTTAGGTGCATGGAATGTAACAACCGTTAAATTTGGTCGTTATCTGGCACATGTCACGCATATAAAATTTCAAAAATTATTTTATTTTAAAAAGTTAATATTATAATTTAACAAAAACAAAAAACCCCCAAATTTTACATGACCACCGTCGATCAGTGACCGTTACCATTGACACTATCATAACCGCCTCGCCGTCGCGACCAAAACCTTGTTTCCCACCCACCGTGAAACTACGTTGATTGTCATGAAAAATATCGTGAAAAGTCATCAAATTTCTAGGTTTTTTGTTGTTGTTTTCCGATGATTTCGACAGCTACAACCGTCCATACATTATACGACCACCACCATTAAATTCCTCATCCTACTTTAAACAAAACACAATTGGTGGTGACCCATCACCGTCGGAGGTGGGGAATGAGAGAGAGAGGCGATGCAAGGTTGATTTTTTAATTTTAATTTTTTAGAAAATAATATTTTTATTATTAAAAAATTTAAAAAATATAACGGTAGACGTTAAAAGTGTAACGGAGAAAATATTAGACACCTATTTTTAATAAAAAAAATCTTTAAACACCAAATCGTGTTTTGAGGTATAATTAGGCACTAAAAAATCATTCTTAATTTTAGCATGAATTGAACCTAGGACATTTGCATAAGATACAATACTCTAAACTATCGAGCTAAGTTAATCTTTTAATTTAATTTCACCCCATTATGTATTTAAATTTTATAACAATATCACCATAAAATAAATATTTATGTTGAGATTGAAGTTCTAAATATAATAAAATTGTTTTATATGAAGATTTATTTAAAATGAAATTATTAGGAAAAAAATTAATATTATAGAAGACAAAATACAAAATGTGGTAACATATGATGATAGTTTACGATTGAGAAATGCTAAAAGAGATAAATATTTTCTCTTATTTTGATATAAGCTTTTATAGTGTCTACTTTGTTTAGGATCTTTGATCTTCTTTCTGATATCTTTATCTACATTGTTTAGTGATATCTATATCAACAAAATAATGTTTTTTTAAAAATATAAAATTTTCACCAAAACGGTATCGTTTTACATCTATATAACAATCTATTTATAACATCGTTAATGAGAAACTGATCGAGTGACAAACAAAATTAATATATTAAATTCAATGAGAAAATTAAAAATATTTAAATTAAAATGAGTGAACGTTAAAAAATAAAATTTAATTACCAAATTTATAATTTACTCTAGATTTTTTTCTTAGCATTTTTTTTACGATGAACGCACTCTCCTGACTAGGGCTGTTCATTCAGTTAAAACCGAACCGAATTAATCATAACCGAATTAACCAAACTTTTTTTTCTTTAACCGTTAACCGAACCGAACTTTTTTTTCGAACATATTAACCGAACCGAAAAAATTTCGGTTAATTTTCGAATTAACCGATTTTTTTTTTAAATTTTCTAATTTATATAAAAATTAAATGTTTTTTTAATTCAAAAAAAGTTTATAATTAATTTAAATAATATATAATTATAAAATAAATATTTCAGATAAATTTTTTAATTAATTAATATTGATTTAGGTTTAAAAGTTATTGAATCTTAAATTATTAATTGGGTTTTAAATGGTTTGAGCTTAGTCCATATGTTATATATAATATATATAATATTTTTAATTAAAAAATACAGTTTACAATTAATTTAAATAATATATAATTATAAAATAAAAATTTTATATAATTTTTTTTAATTAATTAATATTGATTTAGGTTTAAAAGTTATTGGATCTTAAATTATTAATTGAGTTTTAAATGGTTTGGGCTGAGCCCATATGTTATATATAATATATTTTAATTTTAATTTCGGTTAATTAATTGAATTCGAACCGAATTAATCGTTAACCGAATTTTAAAACTTTTTTTAAACGTTAACCGACCTAACTAATTCGATAATCGAATCGAATTAATCGAACTAATTCGATTCAATCGGTTAACCGAATTAGTTAAGTTATTTGAACACCCTACTCCTGACCATGAAAACCCTCCAACTCACTCACCTCAAATTTTCCCTCATTTTTCTTTCGTTTCTTTCTTCAAATTTGAGTGACGAAGACATATTTTCCCCAGATTTCTTTTCTTTTCAAACATAGGTGAAGAAAGGAGAGAAGAATGTCACTCTGTTTATCTTTCGACTCCTTTACCGTTCACTCACCGAAGTCCCAAACTCACAAAACACGGTTCAGTTCTCAGTTCATCAAGCAAAACCAGGTAAAACCACTTCCTTTCACATCAAAATCAAGACCCTTTAACGGTGAAAGAAATAAACTTGTTAAAGCTTTAACAACAAAGCCTGCTGAAACAGCTGTTTCAGCTTCGTTTAGGAACAAATACCCAAAAGACATCAATGTTTTGGTGGTGGGTTCAACTGGTTATGTTGGGAAATTTGTGGTGAAAGAGTTGGTTGATAGAGGGTTTAATGTTCTAGCCATTGTGTCGTAACCGGTTTTCGTCCGGGCACGAAATTTTTTACTTGGAGGGAAAAGTGATGTGAATAAATGGTTTTTAAAATAATTTGGGAGTCGCCATCGGCCTTTTGGGTCAGGTAGGTCGAATACCTAAAAATTATCTTTTAACAGAATTTTTAAGAAAACATCAGTTAAAAGATGAACTGATCTGCGTTTATAACCAAAAATTCTTTCTTTTTAATAATAAAAAGGGATTCGTGGTCGGTTACGTTTAGGGAAGGATTAACACACCTACAACGCCCAAAATTGGTACTTTTTAATTATAAATTGTCTCTATTATTAGAAATTTAAAAATTCAAAATATATTTAATTTATAATCCTATTATTTCAAAATTATAATTATGAGAAAAAAGAAAAAAATAATTTATATATATTTATAAATAAAATATTTATTTATTTAGAAATATCAGAAAAGGACTTCTAGGTGCCTTAAGACAGTTCTTTTCTTCTATATTAATAAATATTAAAATAATAATAAAATTATAATTTTTTATAATATTTAATTTTAAAATACCAGAATAGGACATCCAGTTGTATTAAGACTGCCCTTTTCTTCGATATTGAAAAATAAATAAATAAATATTAAAAAATAATTTATGTAAAAAACATATAAATTATTATTTATTATATATATATATATTTATATGACTATATAATAATAAAAATAATATTTAAATATATAAACAAGTAAAATTAAAACAATAAAAATACAATTAGAACTATATATTTAAAAGTAGTAAAATAAAAGAAAATATTTAAAATTAGTGACTAGATTATAATAAAATTAAAATTCAATACCTAATTCAATATTAATTATTTAAAATTATAGGGATTAAACATGCTATTTTCATTATTTGTTAATTTAGTGACTAAAATAAAATTATAAAAAATAGAATATCAGATTAAAAATATAAACTCAGGATTAAAATATGATTTATTAAAACTAAAGGACTAAATACGTATTTATCCTAAATATATTATTTAATAGAAAGGACTAAAATAAATAAAAGTGAAATTAACGAACCAAATTAAAAGGATTATAAATTGATTTAGTGACTAAAATGTAAAGATTACAAGTTAGGATGGCTGCGGAAAGGGTTTAACCTTTAGTTAATTACAAACAGATCCCTCCTCAAAACGGCGTCGTTTGGGGAGGGCTATTTAAGCCCCTTCATAGCTGGCCCGAAGAGCCAGCAGCTCATTCTTCTCATTTCTTCTTCTCTCTCACAAACGAGAGAAGAAGAAGCTCTCTCGGCTCTCTCTAGCTTCCCTCATCGGAGGGAAGCCGGTCACCGGGCGGTAGCCGTCTGCCGCCGTGACCCCTGCTGCTAGCCACCGCCTCCGGTGGCCGGAAATTCCCAAATTTACCCAAAA